AGATCCGGCGGTGACGGGCGTGGTGGTGGTGGCGGAGGGAGGAGCGGCGGATTTGGTGGCGTGCTCGTCGGCGTTCGTAGCTCCACGAGGAAGGAACGGGCGACGCGCGATGCTGGCGAGGACGGGCTTGGGCGAGGCTCGTCGAGGTGGATGGCACGGCGGTGGAGGCTCGACACCGCGGCTTCCTAGTGACGGCGAGCAGAGGTGGCCGCGGCGAGGGCGTCGCAGCTCAGTGGCGTGGCGGAGTAGGAGCCCGCGATGGTCGCGGATGACGACGTCGCTGTGGCGAGCGGCTCGAGGAGGCGGCTTTGCTGGTGGCACGGTGGTGGCGCGGCGTGGTGGGGCCCTCCCTTCTTCCCCGGCGTGCTTATTTTTATTTTTATTTTTTTGAAAAAAAAAGTTTGCCGAGTGTTTTTTGGGCACTCGGCAACTTCTTTGCCGAGTGCCCGACAGAAAACACTCGGCAAACTAGCGTTTGCCGTTAACAAGTTTGCCGAGTGTCGTTTGCCGAGTGTAACACTCGGCAAACCCTTTGCCGAGTGTTTTTGGGACTTCACCGAGTGCCCCTGGCACTCTGGCAAGTATCCTGTATCCGGTAGTGCTGACATGCCAAAGTTATCTTTGAGAAGTCAATTTTTTATAGATGGCGTGGCATGACAGCTAGAGGAGGACTGTAGTTCTGGTGGGGGTGGGTTGGAGTTTATGGAAGACTAGAAATGTTCGGGTGTTCAATAATACTCTTGTTAAACCTCCCAAAAACATGGCTTACAAAGTGCTCGGATTCTTAGATGGGTGAAAGAAAGATGTAAGGAAGGAGGAAGTCTAGAAGCCAGATGAGTTACTCAAAGATGATGAAGGATGGCCTTTCAAGATGTGACAAACGCACGAAACACTTAACCTTTAAGCTTAGCTAGGAGCCCTTTACTCTTTTTTTTTTAAAGATCGGTTAGTGGCTTTCATTGATAAGAAGGGAGCATAAAATACATGAACTCTCAGTTACCTGATCTCCATGCGGATGCCACCCATATGTTTGTTGCTATATTTTGCTCTAGGTTTGTTTCTGTTGAGTGGCAAGGGGAGTAGGTGTTGTGTGGCGTTTGGCTACTATCTTTTGGTTGTGAACTCTGCTTGTAAACTCGTAACACCAGTAAAATATGTTTAATAAGCTTTAATTTCAAAGCAGGACCAAAAGTCTTTAGTCTAAAATTTTGTTTTCTTTAGTGCAAAAGAGAACAAAAATGTGTGCCTCAGTAGAAAAAAAGAATAATTGGGGAAAATGAAATTTATAGCACAAAAATCAACACTACTGCTTCCATTCCAAAATGTAAGAGGTTCTAATTTTGTCCTAAGTCAAACTTCTCTGGTTTTGACCAAATTTATAGAAAACACATTAACATCTACAATACATAATAAATACACTACCGAGTACCAAGATATATTCTATAGTAGATTTAGTAAAAACCAATTTTGTGTTATAGATGTTGGTACATATTATTTCTATAATTTTGATCATTACATAAGTTCGACTTAGAAGAAAAACCAAAATTTCCCATGTTTTGGAACGGAATAAGGCCTGTAAGTACTAAGTAGCAACACAACAGGACTAGTTGAGTTTTAAGTGTGCTGCTAAGATAAAGTTAAGGCATTGAAATAAGAATGGAATATGGATTTCTAAGGACGGAATTGATTCATAACCTACACTCAGAAGGATATTGTAACTGAGTTGACAACAAATGCAGTTATTGATCATTTCTACTATACAATACAGTTCAACTAAAATGGAAAATGTTACTTTGTATACCTCTCTTTTTTTTTAACTATTGCCTGCCTGTATCACAAAACTGTGACATATCATGTGTCCTAAACACTTCAAGGATGCATACTAGTGAAAAACTTTGTCCGACATGTAACGAATATCCACATTTCTTGATAATCCGTAGTATGACAGATTGTTCTCATAATCTCATTGGCACCGGCCTCTATTCATGGTGCCTCCACTGTCATCTCACGTTGGCTGCAACTGCAACGACCGCACGGCGGCCGCAACAAAATCAAGTTTCCTTCTTTGCGTGAGGCATGTATGCACGTTTGGTTGCCCCATGTTTATGTTCATCAAACATCGAGGAGGACGACGAAACCCTCCAGATCGATTCAGTGTGATGCATGGTTAAAGCAGGTTAATTATATTTACCTGTCCTCTTCTCCTTGCCGTCGTCGTCAACCTCGCCATGGATGCCGCGGGTTGGCATGTCGATGTCCATGGCTCTCTCTCCTCCGTCACTCAACTTCTCCACTACTCCCGTGCCCCAGAGACCTCAGCTGCAGAAACAATGCATGTAGGCTTAGCTGTTGGTTTCCTCTCGCTCGCTCGATTTTTCCCCCGGCCCCGGTGGAAGGACACCAGCAGGACGTGTGTGCTCCGATGGCGATGCCGGCCGGCCAGTGGTCGGGAGAGGGAATAGGGGCGGAGGAAACTATATATAGGCAAGGGGCGCCGGCGAGGGAACGATCGAGCGCCACGCTATCGATCGACGGAAATGAAGAAATGAACGCGCGCAGCAGCGCGGGTGGCGTGGGGAAGTAAATAAAACATTGGCGTGGAACGACCACAGGTTGACGCCTGTCATGGTCGCGCTGCATTACTTCCCCGTCTTTCGCGGTTGCGGGGCCGAAGACGGAGAAGACCCGCGGGGTCATGAGACAAGAGAGGCCCAACAAATGAGATGCAAGTGGACACGTGTGTGTGAGAGAGAGGGAGTTGTATGGACACACACAATTGCTTTGAACAACTTCATAAATGATCCTATTTAGGTCTCTAAACTCAAATTTAAGGGCTTAAAAATAAAAAATACAGATACAATATACAGCCCCTGTTTAGGCCCTCGCATTTGGAAGGCCCTAAAATCTTACCCTTCGGTCCACATTCCTAGACTCTCCACTCAACCCCAACTCGATAGCCCAATGTGATGTCGCCGCGGCGCCCCTCCCACCAATGTTTGTGCTATACTCCGTCCTCCTGGTGGCTCTTATCGAGCACTGCTCAGCCCTCCTCGGCGAGGCCCCCTTCCGGCGAGGTCTCCAGCGCCTTCTCACCACGAATCACATGTGGTGAGATCCTCCCAACAAATCCCGCATGGCTCCTCTCCTTCGGTGAACCTTCGTGTGGCTTCTCTTCCTCGACCGGTATGGATTTGGCTCCTCCCCTCCATCGCCATGATGGGCGGATCTTCGCTCCTCCCCTCTATTGTCACGATGGGTGGATCTTCGCTCCTACCCTCCACTGCCAAGACGGCCAAGATTCACATGGTAGCTAAGAGCGAGGAGAAAAAATGATGAGTGGGTCCCCCTTATCGTTTGTTGGCATGAATTTGAGGGCTCCTATTGGAGGAGATGAAAAAAACAGGTCTTTAAAAATAGGAGCCCTCAAATGAAAAGTTGGAGCCCTGTTTCGAGGGCTGTGGTTGGAGCTTCTCTTAGGAGCATTGTATGTAAAGGAATCAAATTGAAGAACTCTAATTCAAACATGTATCTTCACAATTTGTCTCTTAAATGATCGATGATGGGGCTAGTTGTGCTGGGAACTACTATTTTCAGTAAAATATATTATTGTTAAAAATGAGATTATAGCCTTCACATTATTTGGTGGTGTCGACATCAATCATAAATGTTTTCATTGACAGATTCATTGAATTTAGTTTCATCTTGCAATTATCTGCATGGCCATGTCGATTCACTACGCAACATAGGATCCTTCCTGATCTTTAATCTCTCTATTTAACATAAAAAATTTGATCCAAGGAAAAATTAACTAGTATATTGTATAATAATGTTTTTTGTGAGAAGTCATGAAAGAGCCAAGAGACTTTAGTTAAGGTATCAACAATCATAATTGTATCTTATATCCTCACCTAACTACATATAAGTCGTTAACCATCACTAGACACTATCAAGACATGAATGGGGAATTTATTACTCCCTCCGTCCATAAATAGTTGTCGTTCTCGCTTCCCGAGAAATAATTTTGACTAATTATATATAAAAAATATTAATATTTATGGTACCTAATTAATATTATTAGATAGATCATTGAATCTATTTTCATAATAAATTTAGTTAGAGATGCAAATGCTGCAAGTATTTTCTACAAATCTTATCAAACTTACACTTACAGCGCAGAAACCAAAAACAAAAGTTACTTAGGGACGGAGGCAGTATTTCAGACGTTTTAATTAGATATATACTTCCTCCATTTTATCTTCTAACAAGTGCAAATAACTTATAGTTTTTCCTATTCTCCTTTTATTTGCTGAATATTTTTAATACTTATATAAATTATCTATTTTCTGTAATTTTCTACAACTAAAAAGAATAAAGTATAAACACTTTTTGATACGACATTTCGATGTGTGTCCATCCTCCTGCCTCCTAAGTTCCGCAGCCTCGCTCCAACGCGTGGCCGTGCCCTTGCAATATTTAGGCCCCGTTTAGGACGGCTTCCGCCGGCTCCGGTTTTTTCTAACCGTGACTGTAGCACGAAGCCGGTTTTCTCTCTCCTCCCCTCCCCCTCTCACTGACATAGGCACTGTTCATCGAAGCCGGAGAAGCCGGTTTTTTTTTTTTTGGCTTTTCCCCGCGTGCTACAGTGAGATAGAAAAATAGGAGAGAGAAAACTAACTTTTTGCTACCGTGTTTTTGTCAGGTAAGCCGGAGTCGACGAAGTCGTCCCAAACGGGGCCTTAAAAGGAAAGACCGCCTGGATCCGTCTCCGCCTCCACCTACCGCTTCTACTTCCTCGCCTTTTCCTCTCCCCCGCTTCCCCTCCGCCCCCGCTGTGCCGCCCAGTCCGGGAAGGATACGGCCACCGGGCGCCGACCGGTGGGGATGCACGCAGATGCGGGTGCGCGGAAGCCCCTGCCGGCGGCTGCGTGCGTGGATTAGCCGGAGGTGGGTCTGGGCCTGAACCGCCCGCTGCCACCCTCATCTTCAGCGCCGCCACCAACATGTACTTCAAGTCGACCTCGCCATCGTCGTCGAGCACCTCGCCGCCGTCCTCACCGAGGTTCCTGGACCCTCCTCGATCTCGATCTCATCTCAAATATGCGCTCCAGTACCTCACCGCCGTCCTCACCGAGGTTCCTGGCCCCTCCTCGATCTCGATCTCATCTGAAATATGCGCTTATTTTGTTCTTTATATTCTACACACTCCGCCTTGATCCATCTTCCTCCTCTCAATCGAACCCCGCCGCCGTATTTGAGGCAAAAAAGGCGCCGCTCTACTCCTCTGGCAACGACACGGCGACAGGACGAGAAGGCATAGCAACACTGTGGTGCCACCGCGCCGGGGCAAGCCACAGCGCCGTCCGTCGCTGGGCCATACGCGTTGCTGCTCGCCGGTGCTGCCCACACAGCTGACCGTTGAGGCAACCCGCCATGCGTGCCCGCTTCTGGGTGACTGCGGATGTCCTGGCGACGTACTTGCGTCCTATTTTGGATTGTTTCAGCCACGCCTTTTCTTATCGATTCTATTTTTCCTCATTGTTTTGCTTTGCCTTTTTTGTTGCAGATTTCTTCAGTGCTGCCTGACCTCGCGGGTATAGTAGGAAGGTGCAGGCCGGGGGAATTTCGTGCACAGCTCAAAGGTGTTTCCCGGTGACTGTCCACTGTCATATGACATACTAGGTATATCCTATATAAATTTAGTTGTTGTGCACTTACATATAATTACTAGCCTGCATAGCACAGTCATTGTGCCATTCCTTAATAACTGAACATGTGTCGTCTCATAGCACGTAGCTTGCTCTTCTATGAAATTTTGCTATTCGTATAGTTGCTAGCTGAACCTCAATTTGTCTTGCTCCAAGAGCAAGACCATACGTGTGTGTATGACGATGTGCTAACTGCTAGGTATCTTCATCTGCTGCTCCTGAGTTGTGCCTCTGATTCCACTAACCAGATACTGATTGAGTGCTCAAGAGATGCCTCATGTCAGCATGCCGAATAAAGTGTATAAAACCACTTCAGAGTATATACACTATTATTGACGGAGACTATGTGGCAATGGCATATGCTATGTTTCGATACACCGGTTATCCATCATTTTACTTGCTTATTACACTTATGCATTCATTTCCTTTCTATAAATACTGACAAGATGCAGCTGTTGCTTTATGGGATGATCAAGCAGAGGCCTTTTCAGACAGGGTGGTACATGGATATGGCAACCAAGTATCGTGTCAACTTCCTCTTTGTTGCCACAACATCTCGGTTGTTTCAAGATATTCAGTTATACTCATGCCAGTGCTACCCTGGATCTATTTATTTCACTGTATAATCTACATGACCTCATATTGTTTGCCAGACTCATTAGCTTCGTTTCTAAATAATCCAGGGTTTATAGATCATACACTTGATGCGGCTGTTGTATTAACGAATATGTATGTACTAATTTATATTTTACTATAGGCACTTAATGCTATTTTTTAAAAACTCCATGATCACAACTATGATCTAGACAGTTCCGGAGGCTACCTGGAGCCAACAAGAATTGCAGTTAATGAACTTGCCAAAAGTTTACAGTCCACATACTATCTGCCGATTTTTACATGACTTCTCTCCTTCGTTATTGCTTTACTTTCCCATTTCTCTATGCCTTGTGATGTTTTATCTTATCACTGAAGAACAAAATATTCTATAAAATGCATGGTCCCATTTAGTGGTTATTATTTTTTGAAACAGTTCTGAAAACACTGTTCTGAATTGTTTTTAATTGGTGATATGCACTGACTACACCTAAAAAAAATCACTTTTTCTGCAGTTTCAGTGCTCTCCAGCACGTAGGCTGCTACTTTTTTTTTTACAATTTCATTATTTTCATTCAAATTGATTTGATTCAAGATAACATTGCAACCCACACGCAATACTGCTGTATCATTTCTTTTTAGTGATCCATTGCATTTCGGATCTTTGAGCTATCTAGCGATAAATAACGAACTATAACTTACACCGGCCCTCACGGTAGGTTGTCTGCTGTTGCTTCTCACACTGGACAAGACTGGGAGTTCATTGGGGAGCCTGCTTCGACACATCGTGAAGACATTCGACTAGGAGAGGATAGAGATTTAGATTTTGTTTGTTTCATAAGCTTTTCTGAAATAGATCTACATGTCCTCTGCTTGGTGGGGTTGCGGGTGAGGACGCACGCAATCCGGACGGCGCATGAGAACATTGACATGACCATCAAGGCTGCTGACAGCATCCTCTCCCAATTCGACCTTGCTCGCCGTGTGCGTTCGCTGTTCCTCTGTCAATCAAGATGCTAGACGTTTAGCCAAAAATCAGAGTGAATCGGATAGAGTTTTCGTGTGGCATGGTGTGGATCTGAGGGCGTTTGAATGAATGTGCAAAAAGGTCAGGTGCTTGCGATGATTTATTGCTGAATTATCAAATATTTTGGTAAGATTTAAAGGATGGAGTTAATTGATACAAAATGAGTATTTTCAGATTGAAGGATATAACTCATTTTTAAGGCTTATATGTTGTTTAGGGGAATCACCATTTATGATATTAGATTGAGTTACCATAATTATAACGTTTCTTTTGAATGGGATGCAGTTTTGTAAAAAGAAAAAATCATCTCTGAAAGTGTTAAATTGATGGCTAACTGAACTCATTGCGTTGAGAATATAGTAATCTTGCAAGTTATTGCTGTTAGCTTTTGGTCAGGCTCAAGTTCAAATGTTACGATTTTGCACCTCCACTTAGTTTGTGTGATTTTTGGCTTGGTGCTTTAGGCTTCCGTTGTATGGCTAAGTGACAAATTAAAATAATATCTCTCTCCCTCTCCCTCCCTAACTCCCTCCCCTTTCTCCCCTTCTCTCTCTCCAAGAACCTTATATCAAAATATGCATTGCCTTTTGCTTGTTTGATTTGCATTATTATGAAATATCCTGTAGCCTTAGCACGGAAATGTCTATACAGTAAAGTTTGTGAGCCTGTGACGACGCGTTCTCCGTGACTGTGTTAATTTCACGAACTTTGGTTTTTAAATTAAATGTCACTTTAACGTCGATATTTAATTTCACAGTATTGTTATCTTATCGTGCGATCTATGTGTTTTTAGTATAAAAGTTTAGCTGCCCCGTAGCAACGCACGGGCACGCTACCTAGTATAGTATAAAGAGCAACAATACCATTTGACTTTCCTAAACCATTTATATCATATATAAGTCTAAACCACGTGCATTAATTTGCAATCAGAAAAGGTGTATAATTGGCTAATTGCTCAACGCACATTAGCAGGTCGACCCGGATAAATACGGAAAAACCAACACTGTAATTCATTTTTGCGTTGGCTGCATTGCCTTTTAATTCATTTTAGTTTGAACAAGGCTTGTAACACTTCGATTCCTACATCATCAGCTCAAGCTTCTGCACACTTTACAACATATCCAAGACGCCATCGAAATGCATCCATAATGACTGAACCTCTCCCCGGAACCCCCGTCTCCTACCCGGAGCGATGGTACCATACCATACCAGTGCTAGTAACCTGTCGCAGGACACAACAAAGGCGACTGTTAAACCTCTGACCCTGAGTGAGCATTGCAGCAAAGGTGGTAGGCCATTGCATTGTACACGCAGAAGCTCAGTCATCAGTCATCATGACTTGGTCTTGAAGGGGACGTAGTGTTTGAGCGACTCGGTGACTCCCTCGATGGACGCGACCGCCGAGGCGAGCGACACCAGGAAGCACAGGAAGCTGAGCAGCTGCAGCGCCACCCACTTGGTGGTGTACTTCTGTATCCGTCGCTGCCGGATGTACATCTCCACTGGGTAGTACACGGTGAGCGGCCAGAACCCGATGGCGCCGAGGAATCCCAGGATGTCGTTGAAGAAGGGCATCACGATGGCGAGCACCGTGCTCACCACCACGAATACCGTCCTCCACGCCAGCCTGAGCATGTTGACGTTGAACCTGCCGGCCACGAGGGGGTGCTCGCGTGTGACGAACTTGGCGTTCGGCCAGCGCTTGGCGGCGGCCGTCTCCAAGGCCGCGAAGATGGGCTGGGAGAACACCTGGTACGCGCCCACCAGGTGCACCACGATGCAGACGTTGGCAAAGTCGATCAGCCAGTAGGGTTCGTAGAAGCCGAACCCGGTCATGATGTTCCCTGGCGCCGCGTTCCCAAACGCCGAGTACCCAAGGCAGCCAGCAAGCATGTAGAACGCCGTGGTGGTCGTCACGCCCATCAGGGTCGCCTTCTTCATCGTCTTGTTCTCGGCTGGAGGAGACTTCACCGTGTCCTGAAATTTCAGTTGAGAGTTAGTGACTGACTGGTCTTCAGAATGCTAAATTCTGAACAAACATACACATCGTATGCAGTGCTTGTGCTTACTTGGATTTCAATGAGAATCATGGAGTAGGAGTAAGCAAATGCAATGTTGCCGAGAGCTTGAAGCGCGAGCCAGACCTTCTGGGCTGAATCAACGTCGACTCCGATCTCAGTGCCAGTCAGAGTTGACTTACCAGTACGGCCTGTGACAACACGTACATTACGGCACACAATGTGGCATCAGAGGATGAGAATGGTCAGAAGGCCTAAATCGTACTGTGTGAGACCTTGATAAAGTTTATTTATAGGCTAGTAGCTAGTTCACCTGAAATGGTCCGCGCCAATGAGAGGCCGACGGCAATGGTCGAGTAAGAGAACGACATGATGGCCGCGACGATGGACAGCCACGAAAGGTCACTGAAGTTAGGGAGCTGAGAGAAGAAGATCTGAACGATCCCAAATACGACCATGTACATGGTATCGTAGCTGCTGCAGTCGGCGGCGTGGCCCTTTTTGTGGAAGCAGTTAGCCTTGTGCACGGCCCTGATCGTCATCATTCAGCCAAAGGGATTTCTCAATCGACGATGAGATTGAATTTGAATCTACCAAAACATCACTACTAAATGAGCCTATTGCAAGAATTACTTACGCTGCACTGATGGACGCTGTAATTGTATACCCAACAGCAGTTCCAACCAAGTTGACATACTGGAAAACACCACAGGACAAGACTTGCCATCGACCTGCATTATCCGCGACATGCATCATCTTCACTGTCGAAATTCAGAAAACGAACCGTTGGTTTATCAGAGATGAGATGATGTGAGCACAAACAAGTACCCAGGTATGCGGCGACAGCGTCCATGTAGGTGTAGTTCCTCTTGCCGGTGAGCTGATCGCCGCTGCGGTAGCAGTCAGCGAGAAGGCTAGAGGTGTAGTACGTGATGAAGGCGAAGATCATCAGGGTGAGCGGCCCCACGACCCAGCCCAGCTGTGCAGTCGACCAGGCGAGGGAGAGCACGCCGGAGCCGATGACGGCTGTGATGATGTGCGCGCTTGCCGTCCATACCGTTCCTGAAACAATTATCAAGATATTGTAAAATCAACCAGTCATCCGTATATAACACAATACAATCATAAAACAGTTGAAGTATTAGAGCTAAGTTTTCTTCATCATCACAGAAAGTTATTTCTTCCAATAAAAAGAAACAAAAAAAGCTTCACATTTGACATATAATAACTTGATCACAGAAACAATATTTCACAAGACATGTTACTGATTAATATCATATCCATGCATCTTCATTCATGTAGGGTGGAG